CGGCATCACTGTGGTACTGCATTGTCCCCCATAGGCTCTAATGCAGGCCATAGATGGGTCAAACATTGGCCGATTTAAAAAAAAAAAAAAAAACGAAAAATATCGGTTGTTCAGTCGGCCGATGTTTCCACCAACGTTAAAAAAAAATCAGCCAATTTTCAACTCGTCTATGGCCGGCATAACTTCTGTACTTGCAGGTCACGGCTCATGCGTGGATTTTTTATCGGTAAAACTATCGGCCGATTTGCCCATCATTGCCGGGAAAATCGGCCGATCGTCAAAATCGGCCACGAATTTTCCAACATGACCAATAAAAAAAAAAAAAATGTACAAAAACCACAAAAAAAAACGTCCGACCAATGAACACACTAAAGGTGCGAATATCGGCAGATTTTCGACACGTCTATGCCCGGCATAAGCCTGAGAACTGAGCAATCGCATGACTGGTGATGGCTCAGTTGTCAGTCTGTTCCAAGCAGAGAGCGGTGACTGTCAGTCATCACTCTGTACTCTTCCCTTCCATCGCTCACTGGAGCCAGGCAGTAGAGGGGGTGGGCGCAGCCAGCTGTCAATCAGGCTACTGGATGGATCTCGACAATATGGTCGGGATCATTCCAGAGCCTGGAACAGCCTTGTGACGTCAGCCAACAGTGGGCTTTAGCTCGCTGTCGGCCGATTCTGGGTCACTTTGCACTTTTTCTCAGAGAAGTATGACAAAAAAGCTTTAAAGTGTACAATCAGTCTGTAGATGCAGTAAAGCATGCTTGTTTTACTCACTGTGGAACCGAAGAGGTTAATCCTCTGCACTGTGTAAAAAGGCTGTTTGATCCTGTCTTCTCTGATCCTCCCCTTCTTCCAGTGTCCCCCTCTTATCTCCTGATAAGACATATGGTATGGAGCCCGGACCTCTATCTCTAGGCTATTATTTCTGCAGAGCGGCCTACAGGCTGCATCTAAATTCTCCCCGGCTCGCAAATGTATTATGTTGAAATGGATCTCTCCATTGCCTCCAAGATTTGAGAATTGTAGAGAGTAGGTCAGTCTCGCCTTGAAGGGATACTAAAGGCTTACATTTTAAATAACAAACATGGATTACTTACCTGCTCTGGATAGTGGTTTTGCACAAAGCATCCCGGATCCTCCCCTTCTCTGGTCCCCCACCGGGGCTCCTGGCCCCTCCCTTCTGCCTGGTGCACCCACAGCGTGCAGTTTGCTATGAGGTCACCCAAGCAGGCTTCTTCCCAGGCCACTGCTCCTTGTGTTCATTCACACATAGAGCCGTGGCCCCATAGTGACACTACTACTTGTGGGTGGTGATAAAGATTTTTTTTATTTTTGTTTTGTTTGTTTTTTTTACACTGATTGCTTTTACACCCATAAAGGCTGTAATAGCAATCATTTCTCATTCCCTCTGGCTGCATTCCTGCAGCCATTGAGAAATACTGTGTGAGCTGTGATTGGTCACAGCTTGTCACATGGTACAAGGCTGTTGTGAATGGCCCTGTACCATGTGACCTTTTTTTTATATACTGTCACCTAGCAGTACAGTGTCACCTTAGTGACACTGTACTACTTTGTGGGGGGTGATGAATATTTGAATTTTGTTTTACACTGATTGCTTTTACACCCATAAAGGCTGTAAAAGAAATCAGTTCTCCTTCTCTCTGGCTGCATTCTTGCAGCCATTGAGAAATACTGTGAGAGCTGTGATTAGTCACAGCTTGTCACATCGTACAAGGCTGTTGTGAATAGCCCTGTACCATGTGACCTCGGTGATCATTCACAGATTTCACACGTAGTAAGCAATGATGTCAGAAGTGACATCTTGCTTACTACTCTGCATGTGATCACTGATTGGCCAATCGGTGATCACATGATCGGGACCTCGCACAGAGGCCCCGTACAATGATCAGTGTTCCACTGTGTCCGGACAGCGGACACTGGATCGAGGTGCTGCGCGCTCCCAGGGGGGCACAAGCGGGGAGGACGTTTATAAACAGCCACCCGACCCTGCACTGCCACCGTCCGGCCCTATATATATATATATATATATATGGGCTGGACAGGAAGTGGTTAATGTAAGTACTTGTAGGCCAGTTCTGCTCCCGCAAAAACCTAGCCAGAAAACTCACAGCGGGTGTTGACTGGTCAAGTTCCAGAACACTACAGCCACTAAGGGGCTCCCAGCATCACAGGGGTGAGTGGTGTTCCTCATTCAAATCTCTGACATACCTTTTCTCTGGGGCTATGCTGTGCAGATTTGAATGAAGAAAACGGCTTGCTCCTTTTATGTTGGGAACGAGCCTAAGACCTCCAATGTCCCTGTGACGTGGGCAAGACATGGCAACACTAAGTGGAGTTTTTGGCCAATAATGTGTGGGGGTCAGATATGGCCTGTAGACAGGGGTGGACTGACCATTTGGAAACTCGGGCACTGCCCGAGGGCCCAGGGTCAGTAGGGGGCCCCATGAGATGCCCCTGGTACCTTTTTCATAGGCTTTTTTGCGCTTGGGCAAGGACACAGAACTTTACCATTACAACTGGATAAAAAAAATAATGTTCTTTAGCAAGGAACGTACAGTCCACAATAATAATTATGCCACCAAAATTAGTGTGTGCTGTAAATTGCCTCCAGCGCTGTTCCAGATTTTTCTTCTTGCTGGATGAGGCGTTTTTGCTAAAGCTCAGAGCCCCCCCCCCCCCCCAGAGCAGCAGTAAATCTTAAGGCTGTCAGCAGATGGGCCTCCAGATGCTAGGCGCAGCGCTGAAAGATAGAGCACGACTGAGCATGTGCAGAGCAGGGTGACCGTGTATTACTGGATTTAAACAGTTTAGGCACTGATTTTGATGTTTTACATAACTATACCTGCAAAAGGAGCCCCTGGAGTGATCTGTCGGAGATTCATTTTCTGGCTAAAGCTCCACTGTAAACCGCATTTCACAGACCTGTACAATGTATTTATGGTGCCGCTTGTGTGCATAAGCTCTATTCTGAGTAATGGGGGCTTGACTTTGAAAGTAGAATTCCAAAATATACAGAATTAATCTTAAAAATGCTCCCTCCCCCTTCCTAAAACCTATGCTGACTAACCTGTGTAGCCCCCCTGGCGGTATTCCTGAGTGTAGCTCGGGGTAAAAGTTTCAGTACCACAAGTGGTAACCCCCCCGAGCTACACTCAGGAATATACTGCAGCGTTGCTCCGCGATCGATCCCTCGATCACTTACCTTGTCCTGCGCTCCCGCGATGTCCCCCCTGCAGTGTCCCCAGCCATGTCCTCCAGCCGATGCCGGCATCTGTCTTCCGTGTTCCACTCCCTGCGATGTCGGGACGTACGGGGGATGGAACTGGCGGGAAATTTGAAAATGACCAAAAGTGACATTCACTAAATATCACTAAAATCACATAGTATAACATTCCTGTATCAAACCATTTCACATACATTTTGTCCCGAGTGCTTTGTTCTGGCGCCCTGCCTGCATTTTTACTGTTCTTTCTGCCTGGAAACTGAGAAACGTCCATGGCATCCAAAAAGCGTCCCTTTAGGTCAAAAGCGGTTTTAGACCGGCTAGAGAACAGCGATAGTAAAAATCAGAACCACTTGCAGAATTGAGTGATAATGATTCGTGGGGGAAATTCCTCATCAGACACTGAAAACGATTCTGCGACTGAGCTCAGCGATGTGCGAACTTGGCGCTATATTTCACATTTTTCAGTGTTTTTGGTTTGATTATATTATTGAATTACATTTATTATTAGATTATTTTTTATGATTATTAAATTATAATTTATGATTTCGTGTTTCAAATTTTATCCTCCCCGGGATGTTTACTAGACTCTTGTTCGGACAGATTTCAGTGAGTTATTACTAAAAATGACAGCCTACAATAAAAAAACGACATATTTCCATGCAAAAAAAATGTACCGCTTTGAGCACAGAATATGGACATAATCAGACCGCTAGGGAGGTTAAGAAAGATCTGTATACTTGCCTGTTTTCAGGCCACTCTTGTCCGGTCATGTGACCCCTCCCTGTGTCACAGTGGTGGCTGCAGGGGAGAGGAGGGAGGTGACGTCACTAATCCCAAGCTTTGCTTGTCATTGCTCTCTCCTTTCCCCTGCAGCTGGCACTGGCTGACACAGGGGTGATCATGTTGTTGGACCGGGCGGGGCAACATAAAGTAATACTAAAGGCGCTTTTTTTTTTTTTTTTTTAAAGAAAAAATAATAAACGTGTCTATACTTACCTTCTGTGAGCAGTGGTTTTGCACAGAGTAGCCCGAATCCTATTCTGGTCCCCCCCGCTGGCTTTCTTGTCTGGTGTCCCCACAGCAAGCAGCTTGCGATGGGGGCACCAGCTTCTCCGTGTGTCCATTCACACTCAGAGCTGCGGCTCTGTCCCGCCCCCTCTCTCTTCTCATTAGCTCACTGGCTGTGATTGACAGCAGTGGGAGCCAATGGCTCCTGCTTCTGTCTGAGCCAGTGAGAAGAGGGAGTCCTGGGATAGCCGAGACTCTGGTACATCACTGGATCGAGAGGGGCTTAGGTGAGTAGTGGGGGGGGGGGGGGGGGTTGGGGAGATATGCTGCACAGATACATAGAATGAATGAAGGTACAAAAAAACTTTGAGCTTTTAGAACCACTTTAAGTATATACAAATTTCTTAGACCGGCTAGTCCAAATAGGTGATTGGTGGAGGGGGCGGCATGTTGTAAAATTTGGTTTATCCTGGAGTTTTTCAGCTTTTTTTTTTTTCCAGTGTTTTTGCATTAGCATTTTGCCACTTTTGCTTTTTTTTATCTATTTTTTTGTGGTAAAAAAAAGTCCAAAAACACAGGTTTGCAGCGGTTTACTGCTTTTCTGTCACGTTTTTCAGCATTAGATCGTTTTTACAGGTTAAAAAAACTCCTCTAGAATCCCGCTAGTCCTGGGTTTTTTTTTTTCCAGTCAAAAAATTTTCATTTCAGTCTGTCTGCATGGACACATAGGATAACATGCCGGGGATGGACACATAGGATAACATGCCGGGGATGGACACATAGGATAACATGCTGGGGATGGACACATAGGATAACATGCTGGGGATGGGACACATAGGAGAACATGCCGGGGAGGACACATAGGATAACATGCCGGGGATGGACACATAGGATAACATGCCGGGGATGGACACATAGGATAACATGCTGGGGATGGACACATAGGATAACATGCTGGGGATGGACACATAGGAGAACATGCCGGGGATGGACACACATAGGATAACATGCCGGGGATGGACACACATAGGATAACATGCGGGGATGGACACATAGGATAACATGCTGGGGATGGACACATAGGATAACATGCTGGGGATGGACACATAGGATAACATGCTGGGGATGGACACATAGGATAAACATGCGGGGATGGACACATAGGATAACATGCCGGGGATGGACACATAGGATAACATGCTGGGGATGGACACATAGGATAACATGCTGGGGATGGACACATAGGATAACATGCTGGGGATGGACACATAGGATAACATGCCGGGGATGGACACATAGGATAACATGCCGGGGATGGACACACATAGGATAACATGCTGGGGATGGACACATAGGATAACATGCTGGGGATGGACACATAGGATAACATGCTGGGGATGGACACACATAGGATAACATGCTGGGGGATGGACATATAGGGATAACATGCTGGGGATGGACACATAGGATAACATGCTGGGATGGACACATAGGATAACATGCCGGGGATGGACGCATAGGATAACATGCGGGGATGGACGCATTGGATAACATGCCGGGGATGGACACATAGGATAACATGCCAGGGATGGACACATAGGATAACATGCTGGGGATGGACACATAGGAGAACATGCGGGGATGGAACATAGGATAACATGCCGGGATGGACACACATAGGATAACATGCCGGGGATGGACACACATAGGATAACATGCCGGGGATGGACACATAGGATAACATGCTGGGGATGGACACATAGGATAACATGCTGGGGATGGACACATAGGATAAACATGCTGGGGATGGACACATAGGCATTTTTTTTTTTTTATATTTTTATAAAACATGCCGGGGATGGACACATAGGATAACATGCCGGGGATGGACACATTAGGATAAAATGCCGGGGATGGACACATAGGATAACCATTGCCGGGGATGGACACATAGGATAACATGCCGGGGATGGACACATAGGATAACATGCCGGGGATGGACACATAGGATAACATGCCGGGGATGGCACATAGGATAACATGCCGGGATGGACACATAGGATAACCAATGCTGGGGGATGGACACATAGGATAACATTGCTGGGGATGGACACATAGGAGAACATGCGGGATGGAACACATAGGATAACATGCCGGGATGGACACACATAGGGATAACATGCCGGGGCGATGCGGACACCATAGGTTAAACATGCCGGGGATGGACCACATTGGATAACATGCTGGGGATGGGACACAGAGGGATAACATGTCTGGGGAATGGAACACATAGGTATACATGGTGGGGATGGACACATAGGATATACATGCCGGCGGATGGACACGATTGGATAACATGCCGGGATGGACACATAAGGTTAACATGCCGGGGGGGTTGGACCACATAGGGATAACCATGCCCCCGAGGATGGACACATAGGATAACATGCTGGGGCATGGACACATAGGATACACATGCCGGGGTTTTGGTCACCATAGGATAACATGCCGGGGGATGGACACCACATAGGATAACATGAGCTGCGGGAATGGACACATCGTGATTAACATGGCTGAGGGGTAATGGCGACACATACAGTTGTGGTCCAAAATTAGATCTCAACCCCCACTGAAATTGAAGTGTTTTGGCCAGTTTTTGACAGTGCTTTTGTACATCATTCAGTCATCTTGCCTTACAGTTTACATTAAAGAGTGGCACCATGTACGGTTCAGACAAATATAACGATAACAGTTATAAAGACAATAAACCACAAATGTACTTTTCTGTGCTCACAGCATTATCGCAGTTTTATTCAACCTCCCAAGTTGACATATCAATCTTAGTACTTTAGTACCCGCATCCTTTTACAGTTTTATATATAAACAGCTTTTTCAAAACGATGACAAGCATAGCTTGACTCACAGTGTCTTGCAGCGATCTATCTACGGGTCATCGTATCGCCCTTTGCGTCATGGCGCAACAACGGCCTCCAGTTTCAGAGCTCAATTTCTAGGGCTTGCCGCACTGGCACTATGCTTTCGTTTAAGTCCCACCAGAGAGTATCTCAATCTGGATTTAAGTCTGGTGACTGCGAGATGGCCACCTCCATCCCAAAAGGGATCGCCTGCCGTTCCTCTGCGCAACATGCTCTAGTGGGAACTTGGAGGTACGGCTTGTGCGGGATCATTGTCCTGTTTGAATGGTTCCATTCGTCGCCCAAGCGCCTACAGGTTGGTGTGACAGGACGGCATCAACGTTTACATCCAATAGCGCCTGGGTACTGTAGAGAATTTCATGGTACACCTTGCACACGCCTGATGAAGCTCTGTCCCTGTACCGGCAGAACTCAAAAACAGCCCCAAAAGCATGATGGACCTTCCACCATGCTTTCACAGTAGGCACACAAGGTGTTCCCTTTATCATCATAGGCCGTGTGTCTTCCTCACTCCAATACATAGCGTTGATCCATGGGCCCAAAACAGTTCTAATTTGTGTCATCACTCAGTCACACAGTACACTATCCCTCAACGTTTGTGGCGTTGTCTCCCAAATGGCCCTTTTCTGGCATACACGACAGTCGGACGCGGTCTTAGTCTTTTGAAGACAGCAAGGGTGTCACGCCTTGGGAAAGTTCTGGCACGGTGGCCCTTCAGTAAACCGCAGAGGGGTGGAACGTCTAATATTGTCTGGGCCCTGCCGAAAAACTTCTGTACCGCACATCTGGACAGACAGTCGTTTCTCTGTTCTCCTCAGCTGGTCACACGGGGACGTCATCTACATCTCTAGCGTCTTGTCAGGGCAGGGCGCACTAGCAGTTTCGACGAAGGTCAGCATACTTTCTTTCTGCCATCGCACCCCCCAGCAGCAGCAGCCTAGCGCCCCAGGTAGCGTTTATCTACACCAGTTTGACCTGTGCCTCTGAATTTTGCAGATTGAATGCTTCCGAAGGTGTCTCTTGGTATGTATTAAACGATCTTTTGCAATCTTCTTAGAGCCATTGCCTCTTCTCCTGCGTGAAGAGGAAATCACCTCTTCTCTTGTCTTCCTTTGCGACCATTCACTTGCCTTCCCCATTTTGTAACCACACCATAAAAGTCAGAAGGAGCTGGTATCACCAGCAATTTTGCTCCCCTAATTGGTGCTTAATGCTTGTTTTGCGCTGGGTGACACCCACAGGGGTTTTCAAAACTGATGGAAAGCACCTGTATGAACCTCTGTTTTCAGATTGTAGTCTTTAAGGGGTTGAATAATTTGGCAAGAAAAACCACATAGCCCATTTTACTACTGTATTACTAAACAATTGATGTCATTTTTAGTTGCATTTGGGTATTTTCAAAGTCCTTGTGGATTTTATTCGAATACAAAATTCAAATGTACACTATAGTCCCAAACCCTTTAAGCATTTGGGGGTTGAATAAATTTTGGCCAAACTGTAGATAAAATGCTGGGGGTGGGCACACATAGGATAACATGCTGGGGGTGGACAAATAGTAACTGCTGGGGGTGGCACATAGGTAAAATGCTGGGGGTGGACACAAAAGGATAAAATGCCGGGGATGGACCCTAGGGTAAAATGCCGGGGATGGGCACATAGGGGAAACATGCCGGGGGGTGGACACATAGGGTAACATGCCCGGGGGGGACACATAGGGGAACATCCGGGGTGGACACACATAGGGTAAAGCCGGGGATGGACACACATAGGATAACAGCCGGGATGGAACATAGGAAATGCCGGGGGGTGGACACATAGGATAAAAAATGCCGGGGATGGACACATAGGATAAAAATCGGGATGGGCCAAGGAAAAATGCCGGGGAGGGCCAAATTGGAAAAATGCCCGGGGATGGACCATTGGGTAACGCGGGGATGGACCCCATTGGATAAAATGGGGATGGACCATTGGAAAAAAATGCCGGGGATGGCGCATTGGATAAAAAAGCCGGGGATTACGCATTGGATAACATTGGGGGGGTGGGACGCATTGGGAAAAAAAGCCGGGATGGGCGCATAGGAAACATGCCGGGGTTTACGCTTGGGTAACATGCCGGGGGAAAGGACCCCAAAATAGGAGAACATGCCGGGGATGGAACAAAGGATAACATGCCCGGGGGTGGACACATAGGATAACTGCCGGGGGGTGGACACACATAGGAAAAACTGCCGGGGGTGGACACACATAGGGAAAAATGCCGGGGATGGAAAACATAGGAAACAGCGGGGATGGGAAAACAAGGTAACATGCCGGGGGGTGGACACACATAGGATAACTGCCGGGATGGCACACAAGGGTAAAAAAATGCCGGGATGGACACAAGGAGAACATGCCGGGGGTGGACCAAGAGAACATGCCGGGGATGGACCATAGGAGAAATGCGGGGATGGAAAAGGAAACAGCCCGGGGGTGGACACAATAGGGTAACATCCGGGATGGGCACAAATAGGAACTGCCGGGGATGGACACACATGGGGAACATCCCGGGGAGGACCACATAGGATAACTGCCCGGGGATGGGCACCATGGAGAAATGCCGGGGGTGGACCATAGGAGAACATGCCGGGGGTGGACACTAGGAGAACATGCTGGGGGGTTTACTGGCGTAGAAAAAAACATCAAAAGCCAAAAACACCCTGTAAAAAAAGCCCGGTGCTGAGGGGAAAGCAAACCCGTGCTTTGTTTCCCTTCGCCCCTTAACCATCCCCAAATGCCCACTGCTTGTGTGTGTACACTTTTCGTAAATGTCAACTTGGTTTTAAAAACCCAAAAAAAAAAAAGATTTTTCATTTAAAAGACACCCAATAAAATTCCAAAGTAACAATTTTCTTAAGCTGGAAAACATTTTGGGAGTTCTGACGAAGATTTTACCCTCCAGTTGCATTGACCCAAAAGGATTGAAGCCCGCCCCCCAGCAAACCCTTTGGGCATTGCACATTCCCAAAAAAGCCGTGGCGCTTGATCCTTTGGCTGAAATTTTTCGATAATTGCCTTCGTATGGAAAACATTTGGGCGAATTTAAAATTGAGGTTTTGATTTC